ACAGAGTCCCGGAGGCCGGCGAGGCGCTGTGGTCGAGCCGCACCGTGAATGGCAGCCGGCTCCTCGCCTACAGCTGCCGGGAAAACTACTCGGACTCGGAGGAAGAGGAGGACGTCGACGTGGCCTCCGGCCGGCAGGTACCGAAGGACGACTCCCTCCCCCGGCACCGGCCCCGGATGAATGACAGGGCGGCGGCCGCGGGGAGTCTAGACAGAAGTCGAAACCTCGAGGAGTCCGCGGCGGCGGGGCAGGGAGGGGCGTGTGAGGCGCTGGACTCCAGCCCGGTTCCTCGATACCGTGTGAACGCCAAGAAGCTGGCCCCGCTGCTCACCGACATGGACGCCACCCTGGACTCGTCCGCAGGCTCCCTGCTCAAAACCAATAATCATATCGGCGGCGGCGGCGCCCTCGGGGTGGACTCCTCCAGGATTTTCCCCAACAGCCTCCCTCCCAGTGCGGCGGTGGCCGCTTCGGGTTCACTCAGGATCAATCACTCCAATCACACGGGCGCCAATCACGCCTACCTGCAGAACGCTTACGGCAAGCCGAAGCTCTCCGAGCCCGAGGAGGAACTTCTCCAGCAATTTAAACGGGAGGAGGTGTCCCCCACCGGGGGTTTCAGTGCCCACTACTTGTCGATGTTTCTGTTAACTGCTGCCTGCTTGTTTTTCCTAATTTTGGGACTGACTTACCTAGGAATGAGAGGAACCAGCGTATCCGAGGATGGAGGACTCAGCAGTAAGTATTAAACCCCCGTGGGTAAGGTAACAAAAGGGGATGTTAGTGATCTGCCCCAGCTGCACTGGGCATTTGACGTGGGCTGACGTCCGCGTGCAAGAACATGGTTTAATAGTGAAGGCAACAGATTGAGTGCATTTGTGCCATTTTAAGAAAGAACATTATAACCGTTATCAGAATGATAATCCCCTGGCTGATGTAAAAATTTTTGTGTATGATAGGGGAACTCCAAAATACCTTATTTTTTAAAAAAGAACAAAACATTACAAGCCTGTTAGTAAAATGCATGTATTTACATTTTCTTTAGACTTAAATATAACTATACGTATACATATCAATGTTTCAAAAGTTTTGAAGCATTTTGACTGTTAAAAGGCATCATAAATACAGTGTTGTTTTATCAAATTGAGTTGTGATTCTGAAAGGCAGTGTAAGATCTCTTGAAATTCTGGTTCAATATTTTGTAGTATTAAATATATGGGTATATAGTTCTGTAAGTTTTAAAAAAGTGAATGAATATAGAAGGTAGGAAGGCACGCCTCTAAATTGGTTTCCCAGCCGAAAGCATCTCTCTTTTCACCCACGAAAAAAGTAGTGGTAGGCCATGTAGGAGTTTGCAGTCAGATTTATCTGGATTGGTTTCCAGGCCCTGCGATTTACTTGTTAAATGGCTAGAGGGAGGTGTGTGCATTCATTCATTAAGCTAGCATCATCTATGCTGAGCACTCAGGGTACAGCAGTGTAAAGTCAAAGTATTCCTGTCCTTCGACACAAGAAGATGAATGCAGATCATTTTGTGTTTATGAAGGAAGTAAGAATCGAGTACTTGGTGTATGCTACTTTAGGCTTGGTAAGAGTTAGGTACAGCTTGAGGTGAGACCTGAAGCAGGAGGAGAGCATTGCAGGGAGCTAGGAGAGCATTTGGGGAAGAGATTGTAAGAGGAAAGGCTTTTAGTTGAGCAAGAATCTTGTAGGTTAGAGTGGTTGGAGCACTTTGAGCCAGGGGGAATGAACAAGAGTTTGAGCTTTCCTTTTCTAATCTGTAAAATGATGCTAATATTGATTAGAATGATGCCTGTGAAGAATAAAAGAGAGAAAGTAAAGTAGTGCATGATAGACTGCTGAATACATAATTTCCCAGCTCCTTTTCCTCACTCCCCCTGAAACTTCCTACCCATTTCACCCAACGTGAATTCACTGTATCATGATTTGTATTTCTAAAATTGGCTTAGTATTAGATTTTTTTCAAAATAGTGAATGATGCAGCTAGGTAAAGAGTAGGAGTGAAAATAGTGTAAGCCTGGATTTGGATGCAGCCAATTTTAAGGTAGTTAAAGAATAGATTATTACTATTACTATATTACTATATTGCTTAAAGGAGTTAGAAGAGGACTGAAATACAGCCCTCATTTTAATTGGTATCCTGGGAGCAAGTGTGATATATTCTGTCCTGCCCTAGATACTTGTGAAAAAAAGTATCAAGGTCACCCTAGGAGTTCAGCTAGTAAAGTTCACATAAGTTAAATGACATTACCTATCATCAGTACTTATTTGCATCTGTTTCTCTGACAACACTAACTATATGACCTGTACCTTTTCTAAGAGCTAAGTACTTTACACATATTAAATCGTTGAATCTTCCCAACAACTCACAGAGACAGATGGTGTTTATCCTCATTTTGTAGATGAGGACAGTGAGATTCAAGGAAGTTAAGAAATGTACCCACAGTGGAACAGCTAGTGAGTGAAGGACTAAGATTTTGTTTCAGATTTTTTCAACTATAAAACCCATATTGGTAACACTACTTTGGGTATTGCTTGTGGAGAACTTTCTAAATGAGAGGGTACTTTTATTAGGATTAAGAAAACAATTGAATATTTGGTAGCATTTAAAACAGAATTGCTGATGAATACAATTCTCAATTTAGATGATTGTCATATCTTTCTCCTCACTGTTAAGAAAAATGAATACTACTTTCTCAGGTACCAAAACTTCAAATGGAATAGAAAAACATAGGACTGCTAAGGTTTTGGTTCCTTCTTCACCTCCGCCAGTGTTGAAGAAAAGAAATTATAAAGCGTTTTGCATTTTAATACATAGTAAATGTGAGGAAGCCAGAGGGATGCAAAGAACAGTAGCTAAGAGGTTGAGGATTTGGGTATAAGGACTTGTCAGAATGACCTTAGTCAAGTTTCTTAACCTTTGAGCTTCATTCTTTTGTATTAAATGATAACAATAATTTCTGCTGTCTGTGGGATTGTTGTGAGGATCAAATGAGATGGTTTGTTAAACATAAATTGGTATTATTCAAAAGTTTAGGTAAAACATATTCCTGGTAATCTATGTTATGTAAAGAGAAATAAGTAATTTCTGTAAATGACATTTAGTGTATTTCTTACCTATTCAACATTTAATTTTTATTAAATTCCACTAAATACACATTGTAGATAATGATACAGAAATTTGAATCAAAGCATAATGAATCCTTAAATGTATTACAGACTTAACTGTATACCCTGGTTGAAAACTATGCCTACTAGTTCAGTTAGGCTGCACACCTAACGGTGAATAATTTCCACTCCCTATATTTATGTAATATTCTGATCCTTTGTCATATTATAATGGTTAACTGATGTTTAACCATAGGGTTCATTGGTCAAATAGTGTGCTTAAGGGGATAGTTTTACTTTGAGTAATTATTCACCAGAAGATTGTAGGTTATATGTGAGAGAAAGCTTTAGTAAGCTTTTATTAGTTATTTAAATTATGTATAACGTAATTTAGCTTAGCCTTTTAAGTAGTTCTTAATCATTTGGTCTTTGAAGAATTTTCATCAATGCCTAGTTTTATTAATTGAATTATTATGAGTCTGCTTCCTCATCTATAAAATTGTGGGGTTGGATCTCTAAGCTCTTTCCAGTTCCAAGGTTTAAGATTCTAAGTTTGAACTGCCCTACCAAAACAACTCAAGGATCAGTCTACAGTCAGATCATGGCAACCCATCAAAAGAAAATAGGCAGAATAGACTGACTACCTTAGGCTTATATGATCATTTAGATAATGGTTTTCAGTTATAGAAGACATGATTTTTGTAGAAAATGTACATAGAGATCTATGAAGCAAAAATTAATGGGTATTGTATACTTCTAGTCTCATAATCACTTCTGATATAAGTTCAAATAATCCTTTCAGAACTTTTAAAATGTTTTTCATGTAATATGTACACTTATATATACCTTTGTGTATACATTTTCATTCAATAGTTGGGACAGGCTTCTCTAAAGAGAATTGAGCCCTAGCTGGTTTGGCTCAGTGGATAGAGTGTTAGCCTATGGACTGAAGGGTCCTGGGTTCGATTCCAGTCAAGGGCACATGCCCAGATTGTGGGCTTGATCCCCAGTAAGGGATGTGCAGGAAGCAGCCGATCAATGATTTATATATATGCGAGAGAATTGAGATCTGAATGACTTGAAGGAACTAACTAGTCACAGGGAGAAGAGAATTTTTAATAGAAATAATAGCAAGTATAAAGACCCTGAGGCAAAAACAAACTTGGCATGTTAAAGCATCAGAATAGAATGGTCAGTGTGGCTGGGGCATGGCATATGATAAAGTCACAAGTAGGCAGGGGATGGGTCATAAAGGACCTAAAGGACTTGAAGGCCATAGAAAGGAGTCTGAATTTCATTTTAAGTGACATTATACTATACATATTCTACAACTTTTTTCACTTAATATTGTATTCTGGGTACAATATTGTATCTTAGCCAATATTAAACCTCTTTCCTCCTCTGCCATTCATTCATTCAACCAACCCCTGTCTGGTTTACCATCCATTCTTCTCTGAGCCACCAATTACTCAATTGCAACAGACTGAGGTATTTCAGAGGAAAGGTGGGGGGAGGATTAACCAAAGCACTTGTATACATCCCGGTGCACAAAATTCATGCACGTG